CTCTGCCTGTTTGCATGAATCCTTGTTTCATTTTACCACCAGGAAGGCTAAGATTTCAGACATCATGCTGGTGGTGAACCAGTCATAGCAAAATCCAGCCTTTGGAACAAAAATACAACCATGTGCAGTACTGAAAATGATGGGTTAGCCAAAACAAAGTTTCTTAGGCTATGAAAAACACAACACTTCATATGGAGAGGCAGATATATGGCTTATTCAACTTTGATAGCAGCATCTGTGAAGTCTGACCAAAAATTCAAGTTGTATTTTATAGTATGAGGATTAGTCATGCCGTTTTGAACACACCACAGAGATGCTCGGAAAACACGACTGTTTTCTTTTGAACTTGCATTTCCTGTAAAAAGCTGAGCTTAATGCTAGTTACCCCAGTAAAATTATTCTTTAATGTGGAAGCAATTACAAATTTCTCTTTCCAAAAATTGTATCTGTCTGGCTACACACACCCACAGAACTGTATGTTTCTGCTTGTTACTGTCTGCATTACTCTGTCTCTGCAAACATCACTGCTCCTCGTTCCCCATTCACCTTGTCTCTATCACTAGGGGGTAAAAAATCAGCAGAAAAAATATCAGCAGGATAGCTGAATATTAAGTAAGAGTGTCAGAAGCTACCATGTCAAGGAGCAGAAAAGGGTCAAGGTATAAAAAGTGCAAGACCACTGTTCCCAGTTATGAAAAGGCAGGTACCTTTTGACTGTGTCAGTAGCCAGTCATATGAAAGGGATTGACTGTGGAATTAGGGGAGGATGTGGCACTACAGAGCTCAGCTCCAGATAATCTACATGAAATGCCATCAGACCTCAGAGACCAACAGCTATGTTGTACTAATATACTAATTCAATTTACTAATTCAAGCTTCTCAAAGCTAACTTTCTCCATGTGAATGTTACTGCAAATGAGGTACAAACAGAACACAATCAATGTGCATTATCATCTCTACATCTAATGGATAATTTTTAAAGTCATACATGGTATATGCTTTTCGTAATCACTCTTCCACCATGATCAACTAATTAAGTGTACTTCTAAAAGCGGAAATAATGGAGGTTTATATTGATGCTGCTGAGTATTTCTGTGGCATTTATGTGTTCTAGTATTGGCTTGACATAGACATAAGAGTTGGATGGATTTTAGAATTACTAGACTGTAGAGATTAGCGTGAAGCATTTGAACAAGTGCTTTACTGAATCAGAGACATGAAAATGGACATCTGGCTTTAAGTGGATGCTTTAAGGCTTTGCTGAAAAGCAGCAGGCTTTTATAAGTGCCTTGTTAAATTGCCTTAATTTATAAACCACAGTTAAAAAAATAAGATAATATACCATCATTAGTTTTCTAAATCAAGACATTTCTTTGGCTGAAACCTTGAACAGCAAGGAAAATCTAAGCTAAATCAGAGTTCTGCCACATTTGAAGCAATAAGAGTCCAGAGGCATACTTGAAAGATAACATCTATTTCAGCAGGAGATAGCAATTCATCTTGATGAGTAATAGATTGGAAAACAGCCACTAAAATAAAAGATGGGTTCTCGGAAGAACAGTATATACACAAATGCCCACGCAAACACTGAGGCTACAAACTCTCCATTAAACTAACCCCAAAATGGGTGGAAGAGTAGCAGGAACAGGTACCCAGTGGCTTCTCCATTTCTGCAGGCAGAGCCGTCATAGAAGCTGTGGCTACCCACATCTCATTTTAGCCCTGGAAGCAGCCTCACAAGCCTTGTAATGATTGTGTTCCAGGGGCTCTACCTTGATGTTTGTTAAAAAACAGCCAATTCAGTCAAATCCTCAATTTTGATTGAAGACAAAATTGTAGCTCCCAGTGGTTCCCAGCACCTTCCCAGTTGGAATGAGAATAAAGAGGAAAATGGCAACAGGTATGTTTTTATGATCCATCCTGAATTCACCATCTTAGCCCAGGTAATTTGAGAAGGTAACCCTTGGTTACTGCAACAGTCTCTAGAGACATGATAAGCAGCTTAACCCATCTCATTCACAGCTTCCCATTTCCTTAAACAGAGGTGTTTGAAAACCTTTTAAACCTTTTTGACTTTTAAACAACTTGTAGTCAAATGCTGACCTCTCTTAAATAGACCACTGTTTAACTACCACAGAGAACTGGAACTAGATAACCTCTTGGCCTTCCCTCTACTCTAAGGCAGGAGGGGGACACACAGCTTAGAACAGCTATGCCGAAGGCAAGACCAGACAGGAGCAGAAAGGTCCCCTGCAAGTCTAGAGCACTGGTCTGATGTCCTGGTCCACCACAGCTGGTGCATTTGATATGGCACAGCCATTTCCCTTGTTCCTCAACTTCCATCTGAAAAATCAGCATCATCCCTGGAATGTATCATCCTTTCCAGTACGGGAACACATTAGTGGTTGTGAGCTGCTCCAATACTACAGTGAACAGGTGACATGTACCAGAGACGATTAGGACAAGTCTTGAAATAGTTACCCACAGCTTTCACATTGCCTATGCCATCAGAATTATTATGCCCCTGTAGTGGCAGCTACCTTTTATTTAGGTTTACTTACAATTTCCTTTCACTAAACATCCAAAAGAGCTCCTACTGGTACACAATGCCAATGTAAAAGTGAGAATGACTGTTGCACTGGTATCCATATTAAACCTAAAAGGCAGCTGCCCCTGCAAAAGCATGAGATTCCTGGTGTTAGAGGCAACGTAAGAGACGTGAGTGATTATTTTGAGACAGCATGAATAGATCTACCAACATCACCACATATAGTACAAGCATAGGGTCCAACTCCTCACTCCTGCTGGATCCACAGAAAACAAGTTTTTACAGCAAACCCCTGCCAGCAATAGGTCATCTCTGCAATCAGTGCCATCACACACAAGTACAGTCAGCGCCTGCATACGAAACACAGCACATTAACCTGCACAAGCTTTTCCAAAATATCTGTGCAGTGGAGGAGTGATGATCACTAGTGACCCTCTGAACTGCTATTCTGCAGTGAAGGTCCTGCTCTGTAATGACCGCTCACAAGAACATGCTGATGGGATGCTAAGCCTGTGCTGATTAATTTCATTTGCTTAACATGTTTCCAAAGCTAAGTATTATTAAGGCAGAACATTCCTATTTATTCAGAGACGTGTTTGACTTGGCACACATATTCAGAGGAAGAAATTTTGACAACTGTAAATAACTGCCTTTTTACACATAACAAGTGATACAGAGTTATCATTCTCAGAAGCATGAATCCTTCCAAATGTATCTACTTCTATTATCTGTATCCCAGGATTATTTGTTACTGTCTCCAACTCAGCATTTAATTACCAGTCTCATTGAAAGAGTATATTTAAAGCAAAAAAATTTTGCAGAAACAGGCAAGACTCCTTATAGCTTTGGGATTGACAGATAGGGGAACGTGACCCCCATAATTTAGAAGAGAAAGACAAAAAGTGTCTGGACTGATTATTCAACTGTAATAGAAAATACAGTGTCTCGTCTTACTGGAAGCCATGAACAGCAGTCATTTCAGGGTCTGAAACTTCATTTCTCCCTGGTCATATTTTATAAATACATATTTAAAAGCAGGGTATTTTAAAAAGCATTTCAGAAGTCCGCTAACCATAAGTAATTTCACTGTACTTTTAGGATAAAAAATCCTGGGTCTGTGCCACAAATCCCTGTAGAGAGACGTGAACAAGAATCAGTGGTACAAAAGTACAGCTCTGCACCCAGTTGCCAGTATTTTAATATATTACTCTCTGATAAATGTTTATTTAATAACAACATACATGCAAGCATGACAGCGAGATTACACCTGTGAAAACCTACAGAAGAAATATTTCTAGTGGTGCAGAACACACCAGGTTTTGGACACATTTCATCTCAGTAAAATGAGAGAAAAAACTGGTCTTGTTAGTGAAATATAGAGGTGTGCAAGAGACCACAGAGTTCAACATATGCTAGGCTGTCTGTATTCTACATTGAAGATCCCCACTCCAAAGAATTATTTCATTTTCTCTTTTGCATCTGCCTGAGACACAACTGAGAAAGCTGGTAGACAGCAGACCTTCCATCCCCTCCCTGAGTCCAAGGGGAACTCCTCTACCACACAAGCCTAGGAAGACTGTAGCTAGCACCTCACCCAGGATGATCACTCCTACTAGCAATCCTTCCTCTCCCTGCAGGCCAGCACAAGATAGGACCTCCATTCCTGAACATTAACTCTTCCTGGATTTGACTCTTCTTGGGTTTTGACTCTCAGTTAAGAATATTTCTGCCAATGGTTATCTGGGCACCCATAGAGCAAAGCTAGCTAAAATCACCTTCCTAGTCCTAGCTATCACAGTATTCATCTCCTTATTTTAGGCACACTGCTTGCCAAGCATTTAGTTTCTACAAGGTTCAGTGTTTCTAAAGGAACAAATTAAATTACAGACACTGAATTCCTGAAAAACGTTACACTGCAACAAGCTACAATAAATAAGTCAGAATAAGCAAAGCATTCCAGCATCTCAATACCTTTTAACTTCTACTCTGGGTGAAGCATTGATCCCTGTGGAGAGAATGCTCTGTCTTTGTGAAACTAAAATCGCCAGCAGGACCACACAGCGAGATGTTTCAACACCTTTTCAGCCAACCCCCATCCTCAGAAGTGCATACAGCAACCTCCTGCTTCCACAGATACCAGCATATGCTCCCCAGCTCTTCCGGAAACACTACGCATCCATCAGGTTCTCTTGTTGCTTTGACTTGAGGGAACCACACAGAGCATGTTTTTTTGGATGAAAGCCAGAGAAAGGACAGGATGCCGACAACTGTGTGAAATCTGTACTTTCATGCTGTGTTGAACTTCCTAGCTGCCCTTACAGCACTTCTCTTTGCAAAAATTGTTTACTAGAAAATGTGGATTTTTTTTTGGTTGGAGTGCAAAAAAATTCTGCATTTATAGGAGACATACAAAAAAGAATTAAAAGAAATAAAGGAGCTGATAAACACCAAATATGTAGCATATTTTGCATATTTATTTATATGAGATAGTACCAATGGTTTCTTGTCATACATGAAATATAATGCTAGAACCTGCAGTTTATTCGTGCAATGCAATTACCAAAGCACTGTGACTTACCCCAAATCACTATGAAAACACTGAAGCACTGTGTGACAACTGGCAAAAATAATTACAAAATTTGCAGTAAAAATTGCATTATACAAATCTTTATTTTTTCATCACTGCGACATTGCAGTAAGTTTGCTGTCCATCCCCAAATAAAATACACAGAGGTAATTCTGACAGTTGTATGTTTAAGATCACATCCTGAAAACTCCAAATTCTGTCTTCTTCGTAGGTGCATTTAATGCTGCGCTGAGACTGAGTCCCAAAACCAGTCTTGTGTCAGCGGGATCAATAATTCCATCATCCCATAATCTAGAAAAAACACAAAAACATAACAAATCAATAATTATTGAAGGAAATTAACATATGCAGCTGGTAGATCTTCAAGCCCACGGAACTGGAAATGGTTATACTAAAAAAAGAGGAGTAAAGAGCTAAATTATACTTAAAGCCATGGAGTCAATTCACCTTGACCGTCAATGCAATAGAAGGTGTGTATTATTCCATGGAATTTGTTTTCTAGAACAAAGTATAAATTTTAGATAAACTAAGAATGTCAGGTTTACATATTTCAAATGAGATTCTTAATACTTATTCGTAGTCATCACCTTCAAGAAAAAAACCCTCCTTGCTTGTTAATATTCATGTGGAAAATGACCTTCTGCCTATGACCTACCTTTTTCTATTAAGAATGCTTGCATTTTAAGGATTATGTCACATCATTATTTACACCATTCACGTTAATTCAAAAGTCAGACGAGGATGATACAAGCGTGTATTCTTTCCTCATTAAAAAAATCAGAGCAAACTTCAGGTATTTCCAGAATTTCTATCGTGGGTGACCTTGGCTGGACGCCAGGTGCCCCCAGGTTGCTCCATCACTCCCTTTCCCACCTGGACGGTGGGGAGAAAATAAGACAGAAAATGACTTGTAGGTTGAGATAAGGACATCTACTAAAGCAAAACTGAAAATTTGCATGTGCACAAACAAAGAGAAAAAACCCAGTAATTTTATTCTCTTCTTCTTGTCAGTGACGTCCAGCCTCTTCCTGGGAAGCAGGGCTTCAGCAGGCGTGGTGTTTGCTCAAGGCAGCAAACACTGTTAATAACAAATGCCCCCCTTTCCTCCTCCTTCCCTTAGCTTTTATATCAGAGCTGTCATCATATGGTATGGAATATCCCTGTGGATAATTTGGGTCAGCTGGCCTACTTGTGTCCTCTCCCAGGATCTTGCCCACCCCTTGATGCAGTGGGGGAGCGTTGAGAGACAGTGCTGATGCTGTGCCAGCGCTGCTCAGCAGTATCCAAAGCACTGGTGTGTTATCAACACCTTTCTAGCTACCAATGCAAAGCACAGCACTGTGAGGGCTGTCGTAGGGAAATGAACTCCATCTCAGCCAGACCCAATATAATTACTTACATTTATTTTTTAAATATACTGAAGTCAGTTTCTGAAAAACAGAAAGATATCACCTTCCTTAACCCAGGCCTGAAGGCAATTAAATTATAAATGAGCAATTACCAAATTCTCAAGTCTCCAAAATCACCAACATTTGTAAATAGTCTCTGATATTAGCCAAAAATCAAAATCTTTGTGGCATCAGTTCTCAAGAACAGCTCCATCCTGCCAAACACAAGCACAGTATCTTTGGTTAAGAAAGGGATGCTCCTCCTCCATCCCATCTTTCTGTAAGAGAGACTTACTTTACATTATTTTTGAACTTACTTCAGTGTTGGCTAATGCTTAATTCTTTGTCTGTGAAAAATTTAAAAATATGAGAAACAGTCATGAATAGGGAGCCAAAACTGACTCTACCAAGACAAGGCACAGCCCTTCCTTTCTAACTGAAGTTCCATCTGCAAATTTCCTGTTGTTTGGAGATTAACTGAAAAAATCTATTAGACAAGAAACAATGTATTTTTTTACTCTTCTTTCAATGCTAAATGTGCCAACTTCACTCCTAAAAGAAAGAGGACTGTAAACTGCACATAAACACATGTAAATAAGCTCAAGGCAGCAGCAGACACTACTGAGTGTCTCCCATCTTTGCTTTACTTCACCACTTGCTGTGAAAGCAATTTCCATCAAGTCAGATAAAATATTAAGAGACTGATAATGTATGATTTTTAATTTACAACAAGGATGTGTTGTAACACATATGATGTGGACCATACGATGCACAAAATGGAATTCCAATAAAAGACCCTCTAACAAAATCAGGCACAAGTGTTCAGACTCAGCTTACGAACATGTTCTCCAGCTAGCAGAGAGAGAAGGATACGCAGCTCAGAAAGAATGCTCTACAATAAATATATCTTATCATGGTGCAGCTTCTCAAGAAGAGGAGACAGTTAAACTAAACGGGGCACAAAAGCAAAACTGAAGTACAGAAAAAGAAAGGGGTTTGGAGAAGGGAAGACTTTGATGTGTAATTCAGCAAAACTGTGCTGCTTCTGTCCTGGGATTGAAAACAAAATTTTGACTAAAGAAGTGCACCGCAGTAGCTGTGGCACTCACTGACCTGGCTGCTGGTTTCCAAGCAGCAGAGAAAGAAGTCTGGAAAAATGTAGAATCACAGAATGGTTTGGGTTGGAAGGGGCCTCAAAGACCATCCAGTTCTAATCTCCCCACTGTGGGCAGGGACAATTCCCACTAGATCAGCTTGCTCAGAGCCCCCATCCAATCTGTCCTTGAACACTGCCTGGGATGGGGCATCCACAGCTTCTCGGGACAAACCTGTTCTAGTGTCTCACCCCCCTCACAGTAAAGAATTTCTTCAAATGTAAAAAAAAAAACCACAAAAAAACCAAAAAACCCCCTTCTTTTAAAGCAAAAAAAATTGCTATTAACCCAAATTACAAATATACGAAAACTGTAGCTCTATCTAATTTCTTCTCATTTTAGGAGTTTCAGTCAGTACCTCCTCTCTAGTGGGCTAGTAAACCATGCTTTGGAATAGCCACACTTCTATCTGTATGAAAGTGGTACTAACAGCACATTCTGATGTAGATGACAGACAAGAGTTGTCTATATCATATTCGGGATAATGTGCACGGTCTAAGCTCTTCCTGTCTGGTTCCTGTGAATAACCCCTTTCCCAACTGCAGCTTTAAATTTTAACTGACAACCATAAAGATTTTTTTGTTGCACGGCAGTCAAGCTGCTTTCATATGGTCACCCCTGGCTTCTGCTTCTTTTTGTTTAAAGAAAACTACATTCTCTACTGCCATGTAACATTAATAATTAAACTATCTATTAAAGCTCCATTACTGGAACATGAGTCACAGCTGCACTCATAAAATATCTCTAACTGAGACAGTGTGAGTAAAAGAAATTAGGTCGCCAAAAGTAAAATGCTCTTGTAATTTGTTAAGATGCAAACCACTGAAATCTCTTTAGAAACCTGTGAGCAGATTAATATAACTCATTAAAGAGGGTGCTGCCTAATGACCACCATTAATTAAGACTGCTCATTGTACAAGGTTCTAATCCAGTTAAAGTCTGATTAGAAAATACAACGGCAGGGAACAGTATTGACTGTACATATAGCAACTTATCATTTATAAGCAAAATTATATAAACAGATTAAATAGGGGTATTTGCTTGTATTTTAAGATCATCAGAGTATTCTTCCTTCCCTCCTCCTATTACTTCTAAAAGCTTGATTCAAAACCTAATAAAGTCAAGTGGAAGGGTTACACCAATCTCAATGGACATGAAGACATTAAGCAGAAGACACTAAGCAAGAAGACAGCATGAGGGAGCCTCCAAACTGCTGCACATGAGCAGCAATACAGACAACAGTCTTTGTGCCCACCTGCTGTTTTTTTTCTCTCAGTAACGCAAAGCTGTTCACTGGAGTCTTCTTGTGGGTCTTTTCAGTGGAGGGACCCTACAAAACCAAGGCTGTCCAGATTCAGTTTCAATACAGCACCCTGACATTTAGTTGACAGTCAACTGGTTTTCTTACCATGCTTGGAACCAGACTGGAAACATCCTTTAGAGCAAAGGGAACAGGTTACCACGCCTTGACTTATGGCAAATGGTTGCTAATAAGTAGCTGCTGATGCTGGCTGAGAAAAGGGTAGTCTGCAAGGTGGCTACATCCCTCCCTTAAGTACATTACTTGCTGCAAGGACTGCAACCCTACTTCATCTCATTGTTTCTGCTTGGGCAGCCTACTCCACAGCAATGAAACGTTCTGAGCTATTGATCTGAGATGTTGCATAGGAATTAGGTAATATCGGCAAAAAAGCAAGAAATCAGGGCAGGAAACATGAGAATATTCACCAAAATACCCAATTATCTCTACAAAACAGCAGACAGCAATTAAGAGCTCCTAGACAATGCACACTGTACCTACATGAATTAAAGAGTGAGAGAAACCAGCACAGACTGTTTTGACCTGAGCCACTCACATGCTCTTGTCAAGAGCACTCCTCTGTGAAAAGAGGCATTTCACCTTCACTGCTTACAGGCAGATGAGCTTCAGCAGGATTTCAGCTCTGACATTTGACTCCATGCCTCAGCTGGGCTTATTATCTGGAGTGCAGCATTACATGAATCCCACCACCTGCAATCCAGACCCACGCTAGTTCTCAGCCAACTCACACCTGTGCATGTCACATTTCCCTTCCAAGCTACAGGCAGTAAGAAGCACGTAACTACCCTGCTTTTTCAACAAATGACAGGCCACTTAGCATTAAGAGCACTTCTTACTTCCCAGGCTGGGCAAATTTAGGCTATTTCACGAGGTGACTTCTAAATTTGCAACCGAACCTCAAAAAACAGCCAGATATTCTGGAAATATAAACTGCTAAAAGTTGTTCAGTAGAAAGCACAAAGCTGGTATTAAATACTCGAGTTTCATGTCTAAAAATCACTGGACATTATTAAGATCAATTTAATATTTTTTTAGTGCTAGTCTTAATCTTACATGCAGAACTACTTTCTTACAGATTAGTAACTTACTGTTGTAAATACTGACAACTGTTTGTTGGTTTCTGGAACAGGACAGGTTTTTGTACTACTAATATACTTAATATATTGAATGTTAAATAAATCCAATTATTTTCAATCATGAGTACAAGGAGTCTGACTGTGTTTCCAGCGAACACACAAAAAAATGCAAATGTAAAAAAACCAACAAACTATTCATCTTCTCCTCTGGGGTAGGGATTAATTTTAAATACAGACAGCTTGACTCATTTTTTTAATGTTATATGAGTGGAAAATTCTTCTTCTTAAAAGCCAGTTATAAAAAATGACGACACATGTTTTCATTTTTCCTTCTTGCCTCAGAGCACAAGGTTTTGTCACACAGGTACTAGGCTTAATCTTTAACGGGTAATAAAAGAGATATCACAGCAGTTTTTAATATCTGACACCATTTCTCAAATCAGGGGAAAGCCCATGAAATTTAAATAAACTAAAAATATTTTTAAAAAAATCAAAATCAGTGTGCCACTAGGAAGTCCATATGAATAATAATGAATGATTTCAAAAAAGTATTCTCATTAATTATGTGTAACACCCTAAATAAACTGCAACTTAATAGTAGTGGGTTATACACATGCATAAAACCTCAAGAAGGTGAGAGTATCTGTGACTCCCTGCAACACTACCACACAGACCTCTACCAGAAGCAGAGAACAAGCAGTGATGAGATCAAAACCCTCCCTTAATCCGTGAGCTATGTGCTATACAACTGCACTACTGAAATCTGCCTAGATGGTAGCACAAACCCTGTGTTACATATCCTACTGAGAATATTTATTCCATCAGAGCACCAGTTAGGGCAAAATAGCACAAGCTTCCATTTGACAAAGGTATTGATTTGATTAAACATTAAAATTAATACAGATTCCCCAGGTATGATTACTTCAGCTAAGTATATTCCACTATCCTGACAGAAAACAAAGGTAAAAGTTAACATTAATTTCCTATCTTCCTTCAGATCATGAAGAAGAAGCTCTTCTCAGGTCACCTGACTCTGCTTCCACTAGGTGTATATTGCCTTTTTACTCCTCAGTTTGAGGAGCAGATCCTTGCTTAGCCATGCATGGCTGCAGCCTGCTGTGCTCAAGTTCCCATATATCAGCATGGAGAGCTCCTGTGCTCTATGAAAAGAGCTGCCAGCTCCTCTGTCCTCTCTCCTTAAGGACAGCTTCCTGGGGGATCTCATCCACTAGCTCTCTAAACATCCAGAAGTTCAGTCTTCCAAAGTTCAGGGTCCTGATTTTCCTGTTTGCCAGGCTCACACTCCTTGAGATCCTGAACTCAACCAGGGCATGGTCACTACAGTCCAGTCTGTTTCCAGCCTTAACCCCTTTAATGAGCTTCTCCAGATCGGTGAGTATCAGGTCCAGTAACATCTCACCTCTGGTTGGCTTGTCTAATGCCTGGACCAGCAAGTTGTCCTCTATACACTCCAGGAGTCTCCTACATTGTTCACAGCCAGCTGCACTGCTTACCAAGCTGACATCTGGGTTTTTGAAATATGCTACCCTCTACCATCACTAGCAGCTGAGAGCCTGTGGAAAATTAGCTTTTGGATACCACAAGGAAAAAAATGTGCAGGATGGTTAGCACAGCCAGGATGAAAACAATGCAGAATAACAATCAGAGGCCAAGAAAGCCCTCAAGCTACTTTCCAGAGGTGTCACTCCAGAATGCCACCTTGCTTCATTAACCTAACTAGTTCCTGGGCATTTACTAATATTCCATCAGCACAAAATACTGCAAAGGACTTCTCAGCAAACATGAGTATGCTGCATCCATCAGCTAATGTCCTATACAACTCGCCATTATCCGATACAATCACCTACCGTGACCATGACCTGAGATTTTCAAATGGCTTCAGGTCTTCCTCAAGCTCCTTTCTCCTTTTCCACTGGCCTCTTCCACTTGCAGAATCCCACTAAAATGAATTCTTCCTAACACATATGCAGGCCCTCATTATACTGTTCAACAGGCTTTAGAAAGGTGACCAGATACTATACTGTATCTGGTTGAATGATAAAAAACTTATCCAGAATAAAATGCATAACATATAAACTCCACGCAACCATATCATTAGTTACAGAACCAGCAGAATAATTCCTGCGAGTGCATGCTCCTACAAAGTCTGAGATAAGACACACAAAACATTGATTTAAAGCTTGTTGTTTTGTACTCCTGCACATCAAACACAATCTTTGTTTCTGATTGCTTTCTTCTGCTGTTCTTCAATACTGAGATTTAGATCTTAAGCCCTGTGATTACAATTAAGTTTTGGAATAGTCATTTATATGTTACCTTGCACTGGAATAATAAGGGTTTCCTTCTTCCTCGAACCTCCTAATGATTGGCTCCTTCAAAGCTGCTTCATCTGCCTCAGATAACTAAAAAAACAGGCAAATAAACAAAAACAGATAAAATATTCTTTTTCTTCTACAATGACAGCAGAGCTTTACATGCAGCATCAACCTGAAAAACTGCCTAAATGATCTCCCTGAAGTTTTTCACTCTTTTTGCACAAATTACCAATTTAGCATATCTGACAATAAAATTAAAATACATTTAAAAGAGGAAAAATGAGAATAAAAATAACTAAGAATAATTGGGGATTAGCATCTGAAAAATTACTGAAGCTACTGTATTAAAAAAACACTGTTACAAGTTGGCTTTGGCGAGATTTTTAATAAAATAAGTCTGTGCTACTTTTTAAGCAAAGGCAAGGAATGTCATGAATGATCTTCACATTTCAAAGATGTAAACACCTCATAAATGCTTCATGTTTGTCAATGCACTAGGTGGCATTGGGACAATGATTACTTCATTGGTGTCTCACTTTCTAACACCCTTTCCTAGCTCACAAAGTTAGCAACCCTAGTGAAAGAGTGAGTCACACTCCCTCTACTGAAAATGAAAGAAGAAAGATGTACCTGTTTTCCCTCCCTTGCTTTTTGGTCCTTAGCTATTGTAGCTAGAACAGTTGCAGCTTGTTCCCCTCCCATCACTGATATGCGAGCATTTGGCCACATATATAGAAATCGTGGACTGAAAAAATACAGATTAAACATTAAGGTAAGACATTGCCTTACTTTCTAGTAAAGAATTAATTCTCACTTAGCTAAGAATTAATTTTCATGCATGTCTGTATTACAATACATTGTTTTGTTTAAAAATGCACATTAACATACTTCAATGCTTGCAGCATTATGTTTGAAAATGCAAAAATTCTGTTAATTGCCTGTATTCAAGCACCTTAAAAATTTATTTCTCTTTCTTGAGCCTCTTCAGCTCATCTCCGAACCCCCAGGAATTTTTCTCTTAAACATTCCAAACAATTTCATTAGTATCAGGAAACTTGAAAAATGAAATTAGAAAACTATGTGAGTCATGTCCAAAGGGTCAAAAGAAAAAAAATATTTAGGGATTCTGAAACTTTACACATAAAAAGTGAATAAGGATTAAGGATTTTTTGCACAAGCTGGTATTCTTCCTACGAATTCAGAATAATGGACCAGCCTATACTGCCCAATGATTGTTAAGGACTGTACAATTTTTCCTCCAGTAACTGAAATGGGAGAAAAGGACATCAACACATTGTTAGAAGGTCTCTTCTGTCACCTAATTCAAGGTGAATCACGAGCCTATGAATCTCTACAAGTTTATCAGGTTGTTGATTACTTGTGAACATATTCACTGAGAACTGCTGCTTTCCAAATAGCACAAGTTCTGCAAGAGTTTAGAGAGTTTTTCAGAATGGTACTTCAAGGTTATGCTCTCTTAACTTATTCCTATCTGCTGTCATAATTTGAAGCAAAACTTACCTATATGCCCTTCCACACATCCCATAGTTTCCAGCTCCATAAGAACCACCGATAATCACGGTTATTTTAGGTACACTGGCACAAGCTACAGCAGTTACCATCTTGGCACCATCTTTTGCTATCCCTCCAGCCTCATATTCTCTACCAACCATGAAACCTAAAGAATTACAACACGAAGAAAAGGCTTACCAGCTTTGTATTACTGTACTGTGGTATGTGTCATACTATGCGCTAAAGAGCAAACCATAAGACAAGGCCTTGACCAGCTGCTGACAGCCTGATTTCCAAACGGGCTGGAGATGTAGGCATTACAAAGCACACTAAAACATAGCCTCCAGAGTTAATGGCAAAGCCTACAACTTAGTGAAATGTTAAAATAATGATCTTATTCACCTGTAATATTCTGTAAAAACACAATGGGAATATTTCTCTGGCAACACAACTGGATAAAATGCGTACCCTGTGGAGAGGAAAATAAAAATAAAATGAGTAAGCCATTAAAATTTGGACAAGTGAAGCCATCACTACCAGCACTCTGAAATCTGTGGTAAGTCCTCCCACTGAAATGCATGGGAGTATTTGCATCATGAAGTGTTATACTACTTCTCCTTCATCCAAAGTCAAATGCAAAACATGTGCTCTAGTGGAAGTAAGAAAACTCCAAAGACGTGTGACTCCATGGGTAAAGCAGAAATAATATCCTTGAAAACATTACTACTGACACTGAAAAACTCAACTGCTTTGATTCAATCAGTATGTACAGACAGCTACACAGTGTGACATCGAGTTTTGTAAGACTTCTGTAGGAGTTTTGTGTCACTGAAATTATGACAGCCAGTCAGAAAAAAATATCTCCCCATTTTCTGTATAAAATAGAAGTATTCTCTGAAACCGGGAAAGTCCCACAAACGTTATTTGCTCTTTGCCCTGCCAATTGCTGGAACATTCTCTCTTTTTCCTGAGGGCAGATTCCCTCTCCCCATTTTCTAGAAAAAGACCAATTTCCCAGCAAAGGTATAAATATTAGATTTCAAGCTTCTGTTTCAACCAGAAATAATCTAAATCTATAAAGTTCCTCAGGTTATTTATACACTGCTGGTAAACAAAACAAAGCAAAAAAAGATTATGTAGCACAGCAGCTGAAAAAACATCTAACCTCTTCAGTATATGAATCCACCAAGAGTTACAAAAAGAAAAAAGAGAGAAAAATAATAAAGCATAACCTTCTTGCTTTTTCAGAGAACAACATGAATTGCACAGTGATGATTATGGGAAATGTGAAACAGCTCATTACAAAAATGCAAAAGAAAAAAAAGGAATATTGTTAGATTATGATGCTTATAGAAGCAACATCATGGACAAAGGTTTCTCTAGAATTGAAACAACTGAAACTTGACCATCTCCTTTTACAGTACTGACATGCCAGGAAAAGTCAGCAAAGATTCCTTACGTTTTTTTCATTGATAGGAATAGAGGTTGTAGCATTAAATTATTAGAAAAATACCAGAAGTATTAGAAATACTGCAAGAGTTATTTTCTACTTGGAAATAACTGTGTTAAAACAAATGTTAGGTGAAAACAATGTAATTTACTGCTCTCCAAGCTGAAAGTATTCTTTTAGTACGTGAAACTCAATTTCATGTATTATTTTATTACAGCAATAAATCAAGTAAAATTACTTCCTTTCTCCCCATCTCTCATCAATCCTTCCTTTTTTCTATAGATTCTCAATAACGATTCCTCACCATTAGTTTGAAGTAGCCTGCTAGAACAAAACTATCATATATAATTACTACTAAAAAAATTCAACTGACAGTTGTTACTTGAAAAAATAAAGAACTAAAGCAAACAACATATACCAAGGTAAGTAAACACTCTGCCATATCCAGATAGTCTTTAGCATCATCAATCCCCCAAGTACTATTAACTGTAATACTATCACAATATTCCTTCAGAGATCTCCCCCTTCATTCACAAAACAGGTATTTTAGCTCAGAGATTTTTTGAGACTGCACAGGTTTTCACTCATTATTCTAAGCCAGGAGATCCCATAGCAAAGCACGAATATTAAAGCTCTGGTAAAACAATGAACTGAATACTGGAATTCAGGTTTGAAATTTTCCAATTACTAGAAAAACAATCGTGTGATTTAAAGTAGGACTTCACAGTTTAGAGGTTAGGAATACCAATAGGGCAAGTGATGTAATCAGTATGGACTTGTCCTGTAAAAGCTGTAAGTTGCAGGATACTATTTCAACTGTGCTGTATTAATACAAATTCAAATGCTGTTCTTCTATTGACCTAATTTCTTCACATCAGAAAAATCTACAGAACATTGTTTCTAAGATATGGTCAATTGTTTTTATAGCTTATTAACCTGTTTCACATTTACATGAAAAATGTGGAGCCAGCTCCCTTTCATTATTTAAAAAAGTTCCTAATTTCAAGAGCAAGTTGTCCACCAGAAGTTTTGTTTCTCAATAGCAAAGAAGCAGATTATCTATTTACCTTTTTTGCCGACTCTGAGAAAAGAACTCCATTGTTTCCAATAATTCCTACTGGATAACCAAAAATTCTTGCAAATCCTAAGGCAGAAAGATTAATTTGTAAATTTCCACGTATATATATTTTACCATGGCATGTAAAGGCAACACTTTCTCCCGGTAACAGAAACTGCTATTTGTCTGAAGATAAACATTATTAAAAATATCAATGGGTGAGCCAAACAGAATGAATCCAACTATAAAACCAGTGGGAACATATACAGCACAATTAGAATATATTTCTAAATACCTGTTATTAGTGTATCCCCATACAAGGCTTTGAATTCATCAAATTTACTTCCGTCCACAATTCTAGCAATGACCTTAAGAAAAATTAGAAAAATTAAGTTAAATTCCTAATCCTTCATATATTTTAATTTCTTTAGAAAGATCAACATATAATTTAATACAACCTTTCCATTTTTAGAACATCAAGCAGCCCACCATATAAACAGTCTGGATGGCAGGCAAAGCCCATTTACTTTTTTAAGTGTGATTTATCTCCATGTTTGTAAAAATGGGATTTCAAGATTAAGAATATCCTAATAGAACAGTTAAACTACACAGGAACAAAGTTTTCCTGATTAGTGGAATTTCAAAGAAAAACTGCTACCTCTAGTTATATTAAACATTGATCAGCAGACTCTCATTTTTAAAGAAAAAAAACATATAAAGCTGAGTCACTTTCTTAGAGATACGATTAGTTTCAGCTTTGCTTGAATTTGTGACATACAAAAATAATGAAGATCTGATCTGAGGTTTCTCTGAGATGTAAAGGGGGCATTTTTTATAAATACAGATCCACTCCTAGGAAGACATTTGCCAGAAGACATTTATTTAAACTTTAAAAGAACACAAGTCCAAATTATTCCAATACCTTACAGAGTCTAATGTGAGGCTCAGTACAAGTGTTCATCTCTTTTTCCCTTAATGCAAAGCATACCCTAGTAATTTAAATATTTTAAGACAGGTATGTATTAAAGACTCTTCATAGAATACACACTTGGTTGGTAGTGAAAAAATGTGGGAACTGCACAAAATACAAGATAGGATGCGGGTTCAGATGAAGGTTCCAAGGCAGACAATAACACTAGAACTGCAGCAGAGTACAGACTCCATACGTCGCTGGGAGAACTCTCAGTTGTCTGGTGTGCTTTTACTCCGTAAGTCTTTAAATATTTGATCTTTCACAGGATTGACAGAAAAAGAAAGCCATCGTACCACTCAGCAAGCCTACAGAATGCTCTGCCAATGCAAAGTTACTATTTCTGTCAGCTTTTTCAGAATGTTATCAATCTCGCATCCTTGCACATCCTTCTTAAAAGTATAACCAGAAAGCATTACATTTTCAACGGGTCATTGCCATTGCAATGCATCTGGTAGACAAATACTAAAAAAATAAGCACTCAAATCAGATGTTATCAACTATGATAATATAAAGAGTGATTCCCTGCAAGAAAACTGGGTGCATGCATGCATGGGCATGTGGATCTTGCATTAATATTCATACCTCTTTGACATCAAAATTTCTTTTTAGCTGGTCACCAACTATTCCATATATTTCATCAGCCGGAAATAAAGGCTCTTCTGATGGTTCTATAGTCACCTACAGCAATTTAATAAAGCAATTTACACAACAAAGGAACTATCAGTTCACATTATGACTTGAAAGTTCAAACGACAATTAATTTGCCAACTTCTTTGAGCACAGACTTCATCAACTACATTGAAATGACTGCATTGGCTTGTCCTTATTTTGCATAAAGATCAAGTTTCTTAAACTGAAGGTTGATAATACCTTTCTCACTTACTGTTACCCTTTTTCTACTCCTGCATATACCTCCACATGCACTCCACTTCTTCCATGTTATAAAAAAATTAAGTGTGTCCTCCCATTTTCTTACTTTCCCCCGTGTCCCACAAGGCAGGAATTATTCTGAAAAACTGGTGAAGCTTTTTGTCACACAACTAAATAAAACATCTTGCCTTCCTTCAGCTGTCTATTCACCCTCTCACATCTCCACTAAAATAAAATAGGGTAATTCCCCACCATATGCTATCCATCCCGTCTTCTAAAACGAATTTCTAAATCAATACAATAGAATGACATGATTCACGTCTGTCCCCTCAGTTTTGTACTTCTCCTTAATAATGGCAGAAAATATCTGCTCAAAAAGATGCTTTAGCAGGTATCTAATTTTAAGTCCATGGAAATGATCACGTGGGTTTAAAATTCAATTGAGTGTCTTGCAAGACTGGATTAATTTAAAAGTGCAATTCTGTGACTCTGAAGCACTTTTCTAGTTGCTTCACTCTCCCACTTAAGCCCAGTGATTTTATTGGGAATAATACACCAGGAATGCAACTGCAGAACTGACACAGCAGAGAAATCTTTAAGGACAAGAAGCGCAACTTTAATTTTCAAAATGCCTGAAGTCATAGACAAAAAATGCGTTATATAAATCAGGCTAGGAAAAGCATGTCTAATTTCAACAATGCAGTGTTCTAAGATTCTATGCACTTACGTCTATTTTCTTCTGGAGATTTAAACTTCTTACAACTTTCCTTGCTAGATGAAGTGCATGATTGTCATCCAAAGCATAGTGATCTGTTACACCTGATTTTCTGTATGTAAATAACAACAGCAATATGAATACTTAGGAAACAGCCATAAATCTGGCAATGAAAACTTGAAGTTTTAAAACATCCAAGACCTTAAAAAATTTATTTTTATATTTAAAACATAGATGCTACCATACAGCTCTCTGTGTTTTGTTATAAAACTACTTTAAAAATAAAATCCATGGCTGACCTTTTCTTTGAAATAGCATATTCAAGTTATCAGACATGACATAAAATAGCAACTCCGGGAAGTAAAAAATCTAAATGACAATATAAATTACCATAAGCATTGTTCAAATGAAACAAAAATTCATTTGAAATTATAAAGAAAAACATGTTTTTCACAAAAACAGCATGAACTGCCCTTCAAAAGAATTCTTTATTCACTTCAGTAAATTGAAGTGAAAAATAAGCAGTTATTGTACAACAATACCTAACTTACTGTGCAGTAATATCTAATTTTGCCTACTATTCGTTTTAGAAATTCAAAGTGTGTAGAATTTCTTGTTTTGCTGACAAGCACTCTCTTACGAAAAACACAGGCTATTTTGATTTTGCTTGTAGTAAGTTCTGACAGTAAGAAAGATACAATACACAAAACATAATATCTTTCTCAATATCTATTACTCTATTAACAACTAGTATTATATAGTAATGTCCTCCATATTATGCACGATGCTGCAGTATACTAGACATGTATTTTAAAGTAGTCAATTAAGGAAGCAACATCTTAACTAGAGTATAACAAGGTAACTATGCTAGTCTAACAATAAAACAATTTGTCTGCACAGATAAGCACATCAAAATCTTAATTTCCAAAATCTAAATATAGCTAAAAATATCTAAAAATAAAAAAATAAAATAAAATAAAATAAAATAAAATAAAATAAAATAAAAGCTGAAGTCTCAAATATGGAAGAAATTAACTGGGAAAATATTTCTTTAAACCTGCAGTGAAGATCTGCCCCTCCAAGATCCTCTGCTGATACCTCTTCACCCGTTGCCGCTTTAACCTACCATAAGAAAAGGAAAATGAGCTTCAGAGTAGACACTTGTCTTGCATTAATACTTACACTGGCTTAGGTACAGCAGTAAAAGAGATCTTTGCAAAATGCTTCTTCATTAATAGTATTTCCCAGTTAATCTCCCACAGAGCATTCAAAATGGGACAACACAGAATCTTGCCAAAATTACTTAGTTTCTTCGACTTTGTATCCTTATTCTGGCATTAACATGTAGTTTTGACTGACAGAGATTCTCCACTTACTGTTGATTTACTGCTGTGTCCACTATTAGTGTGAATATACCCACGCATTCTTTAGATTCATAAACGTGCATTTTCACAAAAGTTTTCTTAACAAGAAAATTCAAATGTGGTACTGTCCTGCACTGTTTCAAGCAAACAATATCTCTATTGAAACTTAGCATTCTTCACTTTTGCTTTCTTTATACAAACTCTTCTGGGAATTTTAACTTAAATATTAACCACAGAACAACCATTAGCAGTTTTTATTTTCTTAACCTTCCAGTAAACACACAATAATTTAGTAATAATAATTTTCTTTAAAAGAGCATATCAGTGGCATATAACTGTTTAGATCAAGTATGATGTCCCCATAAAAGTACCTGGAATGACAACCGATATCCTAGATCTGTGAAATCTTAGACCCGAAACGGTAATTCAAGAGTAAATGAACTCCTTAAAACAGCTGCACAGTTAAAAAAAAACCAAAAGACTTCTTGATGCATTTCAACTCTACAATAACTGCTTTGAAAAGGATTCCTTGAAAGCTGACGAAACCATTATTCATCACACATGGAGAGTACAGAGGTAGAGCATGAGACAAGGAAAGGGAAAACTATCACCCCTTCCAAAATAGACTTCAGTTTTCAAGTTTCATGTCTAAAAATGATGTACACTAAATATATGAATATATACTATATAGATACATAAATACGTAAATTCATATTCTCTAACACACACACACTTGAAAACTGGCAAGTTTGCAAAATCATGTACAGATATCTCTTCAGTGGTAGAATTTTTGCATTGAAATTTGAGTTACCCATGCAATATGAAGGTGCAGCATTCTGATACTAATTAATGGAAAATTTCTGTCAGAGGCATAACTAACTTTAGTCTTCATCAAAGAAGGAACAGAAGAACATACTTTTTGGAGAAATCAGGAAGATTTCTTCACTGAAAGGGCTATGCAGCATTGGGACAGGTTGCCCAGAGAACTGGTTAAGCTGTCAGCCCTGGAGGTATTTAAATGCATACAGATGTGGCATTTAAAGGGACATGGTTTAGTGGTGGACTTGGCAGTGTCAGGTTAAGGACCGGACTTAATGATCTTTAGGGTGTATTCTAACATAAGTGATTCTATGATTTGATTCTATGATTTTATTCTATGATTCTATGCAGAACTCTTTATGCAGTTACAACATGTTAACTACTCCAGAACTCGGCACAAATATGAATACAGCATTGATTTCTTTTAGCACAGAAATCTAGAGACTAATTTTAACACATCTTACAAAAATATTTTTTCCCATTTTCCACAGAGGTGAAGTTTTCCTTCTCCAAATCACAGTATTGGAGCTGTGGGTTCTGTCAGCCAGCCTGAGACACCATCAAATTTAACTCCCCAGCTCAAAGCAGGGTCAATCAGAGAAGGTTGCTGATGACCATGTAATGATCACAAATTTTGAGTCTCAAGGACAGAGACTCCACAACCTCTCTGGACAACTTCATTTGGCATGACCACTCTTGCAATTAAAAAGTGTTTTCTTACAACTAAACAGAACTTCCTATATTTCAATCTGCACCCTGTAGCCTTGATCTATCACTGGGCATCAATGAGAAGTTTGGCTCTATTACCTTAACTTCTCACTGCAAGGTATTCATACACATGGACAGATTCACCCTGAGATGCTCCAGTCCCTTCATCATCTTCATGGACCCTCATTAACTCATTGAAGCATGTCCATGTCTTTCTTGGTGTGGAGAGCCCAGAGCTGGACCTAGCAGTCCAAACGCATCTTAGGAGGGCCGAGTAGATGGGAAGGATTACTTGCTCCAACACCTTTGCAGGTACAGCAGTGCAACAAAGCATTCTACAAACTGTAGTTTAAGTAATGATCAAAGTTATTTAAAGTGAATGGTTGATGTTATCCTGAAGTTTATTAAATTCTAACAGATTGCAAGTAAGAGCCTTGGCAAGTGGGTATTTTCAAAGAAACCCTGTTCAAGCTACTTCAGTTAGAAATTATCAGGAGTAATGAACATAAATTTCAGATATAATGCGCATTTTCCACAAGAGATGAGGCTGACATGTAGGAAAGTCCCCAGTACACAAATACATGAATTTGACAAACTTATTCCCTCTTTTTACCAGACTTTTCTTCACCTTTGAGCACAGAAAGTAGCAAATTTTCCCTTGGGAAGGAAGAATCAGAAATTTCTGTAAAGAAACGACGAAGCCTGAGCTACCAAGCAGTACTGCCAAAGATGAGGATATAGATACCTTCAGCCTGGGGAAGCGCAGAAGAATGGCCCTAAATATTATTACTACTGTGACACTTCTTCTCTTCGAGTTCTATCAGTTTATGGAGTCATTACTCCCCACCCTTCTAAAAAGAAGGGAAAGCAAACTTCCATTTTAGATGGTGGACTAATTGTACCTGCAATTCACGTTTTATCATACACATCTCAAGACTAATAATAACTAACATCAGGGATTTTCTTTCACTTCCGTAGAATGTTTTGTTTTACGCAGGTTAGCGATAAAATCCATCCTATTTTTTTTTATGTAGGGAGGACATTTTGGGGAACAGAGCTCAGACAAAAATGGCTACAATATCTGCTACAGTATGGAATGGCAGTTTCTATGGGAGTCTGAAGTAATTTTGATGCTTAGAAAAGGCAAGTAAAATATTTTCAGGGAGAATATGAAAAGCTCTACAAAACAGAAAAGCTGTCAGGTAGTGATATTAAAGTTTGATCTATACGCACAAAGATAAGGATCATTACATCTGCAGGTTGCTAAGGAACAAATTAAATTGGAGGGTAGTTGTGAAATCTTCCTCCGAAAATGGTGAAAAGTTTTCGACACGTCTAACTTCACAACATCCTTGCAGTCACTGACTCGCCCAGTCAAGTCTTCCCCTGGAGGCCTGACTCAGGTCACTCAGCTGCCTATACTGGCAAAAGTCTCATGCACTACATCTCAGTAATACCCATGTATGACCTAAATTTCCTTGTGAAGTTAAATCATTGCCAAGCAGGCCAACTTCTTGGGTAGTATGGGTATTAGCTGCCTCATGTACCTGCACAGTGCTGGAGCTTGAAAGAAACTGGCTCTGAGTAAGTTCTCCAGGACACATTATTTATTGCACCCACTGGGTCTCCCAGGATCTGAAGAACATTTCCAGCTCTAACACAACTCCAAGCAGGAGTGTAGTCAAGATACACTGAACTCCCCAGCAGTCTTGCCAACGGACATGCCACATCAGAAGAGCTGTGCTTTCTCAGGTCCTTTAGATTTCCTAGTTGGACTTCTGCAACAAATTACTCTGTACCTGAGCAAGCCCCAGAGGCAGTGCTGGCCCTTTATATGCCACTGGCTCTAAGATGATGAGCTGTCCTGAACCTAGAAAACATTTGTACTTAGATAGCTCAGGTGCTCCTGCAACAGGGTAGTTATTCTTAACACAATAACCAAGCTACTAACAGCCTGATGTAAAGAGCTCATTTCTTTCATCATACTAATTTTCTTATCTCAATAAAAAGATGTATGAATCACACAATGTTACTCAACCGATACTATTCTCAACTAATATCTTCATTCATGTTTATACCACTTTTCACCAAGAAACTCCAAAGACCTAAAGTGATAAATTTATAAAAAAATTACTTAATTTTGAGGAGGATTTTTCTTCGTTGAGCTATAAATAAATTAGTATCATATTACATAAGTGCTATTAATCACATCATCTGCTTTTGCTGACTACTTTTTTCTTCTTGTCAACTTAGAAAGCCTCTGCTGAAATAATAAATTGCTTCAAACTATGTGCTTTGTTTTATTAGGGTAGACGACGAAGTACCCTTGTAATTAAAGGTACGTCCCTGTTTTCCATATACCAGTTACATTCTGAATTTATTTAAGACATTCTGGAACAGTGAATTATATTTCCCAGCCATAGGAAAGAATCTCTGCAGTTATGGTAAGACTTTTGGGGTTTTTTTAACTGCATAAGAATTTAAACTGTACTTTGGAAGGAAAAAAAAAGGTACAAAATGCCAAATCCACTTTTATCACCAAGACGACACAGTGGGGAAAAAAATTCACTCTAAAGTAAAGGAAAATAATGGAATGCAAAAATGTCCTGTGGAAATGAGAGCAGTGCTATACAAATAAACACTAAATGACATTACAGGATAAGTTCTTCGTGCTTTGAATGAAACGAACGCAATCGCGCCTTAGGAACTGGTCAACAAATAAATCTGTCAGTGATTGTCTTCCCATAGTTTAATGGGACATGCTATATTTTCCCAGCATCTTAAGTGGTGAAGGAAGTGACTTCCAACAGACTTCACCTCCCTACAGGAATCAGTGCAGGCAGCAGAATCTTCACTAACAATGCTGTTACAAAGTGATTTCTCCATTTAGGCCTGCTCAAGCTGGAAGGACTCTAGAGAGACACGTGATTTGCACTTGGCTTTGTCACAGACAGCTTACCTAAGTTCCCAAAAGACTGTAACCAAAACAGAGCCGTCATGCTGCCTCAGAACAATTTGTACAACAGGGCAAATACGTGACTATTCCAAAAAAGCAAGTTTATCCAGTCACAATTCATTGAGACCGGAACAGTGCTCTAGCTGCTAGTTCTAGCACTAACATTTATTACTGTAAATTCATTTCTTCTCATAAAGCTTGTGTTAAATTATCTTTGTCAGCAAAGATTATTGCTTGTACCGGCATAAAACTGAGCCTACACTTGAACATACAGCTGTTTCTGAAATAATAAACCCCATTCAAGCACTCCTTTTTGCTGGAGCCAAACTACTGTAATTTTAAAGCTGTGTTATACCGCAGAATTTTGCAGTCACAAATTCCACTCTGAGTTCCACAATAAAGCAAGTTTTAATTCACAAAAGTTCTTCAGGTCAGTTTCCTTAGAAGCAATTTCCTTACTAAGCAAGTAAGAAAACTATGATAAACTCCATCCTAAGTGCATCTCCTTTGTCTGTAAAACGACATAAAATATAGCTGATCAGTTGTGCTTTTGAACTTCTCTGATCTTGATGGTTGTATTTTTTTTTTTAATTTCACTTCATATCTAGAGACTACAAAATTGAATAGAGAGACCATTTTTATCATAGAAAACGTGCATGGCAATCTAAAAGCACTAAAAAACCACCTTAACACCGTCTGATTTACACATATACATCTAACAGACAGAAGAAATTTATTTTAGGATATAAACATGCAGATATACTTAAAAATGCAAACTAATCTACAGAATATCTGGAAATATCTCACCAAGAAATGTGTCAATTGTTTAAGCTCTACAATTATCTCAGCCTGATTTTGGAGGCGGGGACGGGGGGGGCTTTGTCACTAGAAACTGATGTATTCTTACCAGTGGTGGCCCTCCCAGGAATATTGTTCCCTGTTTGCCAACAATAATACTTTCATCAGCCATTGCAGGTACGTATGCTCCTCCTGCTGTACAGGATCCCATTACTACTGCTATCTAGGGGGGAAACAAAAACACAAGTTAATGAATTGTTCAACCCTCAAAAACAGAAAATGTTTTGTACAAATTTTTCTCTGTGAGATTATTTTTGCCTGATAGAGCAAGGTTTTTTATGTTTTAGCTTTTCTTTAAAAGCAGGGAATGTCTCTAGTGTCCAACAGTCTTTTAAACTATGATCTTCAGGCCACCCTGCTGGAAAATTCATATATTATGTACCACAAGGTACGTATGTGGTATGTTTGATGAGACACACATTCTACCATGAAATTTGTTTTTTACTGATGAATGGTAAAAGGTCGAAACCTAGAGATTGCTCTTGGTATTTATGCTCAAGCCAGAGCTTCAGTTGTTGCTTACTGGCATAGTTTCACCAATGTTAATATCCTTTGAAGGAAATTCCTCACATCTACTAGTTTGTAACTTTAGTTCCCCAATGGATCAACTAATTAACTCTGCCCCTTCAAGGCATGAGTATTTCATTACAGGTTTCAATATGAACAATCTCTGCTTCACCCATTTGCCTAATTTTGACACGAACATCTACCTAATGGACATCTTCTACCAGTAATATCTTGGTGATACTGTAATAAAACTGGCTTGAGCCCAGATATGATGAATATTACAACATTATACGATCATGAAAGTGAAGTTTCTCACTTAAGTTCTCCTTCAGGAGAACACCTCCAAAGACCCTTCCAAAACACTTGTAGAATAGAAGAAAAGGAATACTCATGAAAAAGGCAGACAGTAAGAAACACCTTCTTTCACAATCACACACATACACACACACAAAAAAAATCTAAAAAACCTCCAGTAAACACCATTATTTTATGTTAAGTTTGTTTCAAGATATTTCTAAAGCGACATCAGGTAGTCTTCTCTGTTAAATAATAATTTAATGTTTGCTCTTAGAAGAAAACAGTACACAGAAAAATGAAACTTCCAAATCACATTACCCAAATCTAAAGCAGGAGTAAATGAACTATGTTGACCTGCTACGATAAAATCAAACAGCTTTTTCAGCAAACAGTTTCTCAAACAGTATCTTAAACTATATTCAGAGTCACATGATTAATCTGCAATATTTCTGTTGTGCATTTAATAAATAACTCCTGGTGAATACAAAAACAATATAAGTCTGTAGAAACAGGAGAAACTTTGGCAACAGACGTTTGTTTGACACTTTTCCCTAGGATTTGTGGTTTTTTCCTACTCTTAATTTTGCCATGTTTTTGCTGAAAAACGTGCCTGCATTTAAATTTAAACTCAGGTGTTATTTTTTCCAACATAAAAACTGGAATATGTATATACTGGAAAAAATAAAACCTACCTGTTAAATAGCACAACTCCAAATTCTCAAAAAATGTCTTACTTCTTGACTTCATTCTTTGAATTATGACATAGAAGTTATTGGCAGGTGCAATAAAAATCAAGAGTCCTAACTGCACATCCAGTATTTCGTATCCACTGATCAGGTCCCCATTTTATCCATGCAGCATATGAGTGTGAGAGAACTCAGGAAGCTGCAAATTAGAAGCTAATCACAGCTTTCTGATTCACAGCCATACAGAAAACAACACAATTCAAACTGTATTAGGTGTATAACAAATTAGTCACAGGTAAAAGTGGAGGGGGAAATTAAAAGCACCATCAGCAACTGGAAAATAAAAAAAGAAAAAAAAGCAAGCACTTTAAAGGGCTAAATTGAAAAGAGCTAATGAACTGATGAAACAGACCTTCAGGCAGGTCAAAACACAGAACAGTAGGTAGGAAACTAATGACATCCAGACTCTCATATCAGAAGAATTAACCAGAGTGGAAATCAGAGAGAGCATAACTTCTAATTCCGTTTTCTAATGAAATATCCTCTCAGACAGGGAAAATGGTTCTAGCTGCCACAATCAGTTAGCACAGGATCCATAATAAATTTACAGATGTTAACAGTGCCTTTTTGGAATGAAACAAAGGATAGATCCATCTCCCAAACAAAATGCAGCCTTATTACATCCTTTAAATAAAGGAAGTACTTCAGTAAAACATTTTTCCCAGTCTTCAATAAACATTTAGAGAAAGATAAACTTTTATCAGTGTCATAGCTAGAAAATTTAACTTTCATCAGTGTAGTAACAAAGAGAAATGTGTTTTATTAAAAGGCAAATCTTTCTTACACTCAGTTTTTATTGTATAGGAGTACAATTACTCCTAATACAACACTATATGGTAATTGAAAGAAAAACAAATTCAACTTTTTATGGAACATTACAAATACATTAAATATGTTTCAAGATATTCCAGAAAACACCAGTTTGACTTTAGGGCCAGGCATTTCTAGAAAGGTCTTGCCTAACAAACATCAGTAATTTCAGCCTTGCAAACTGGGTACACATACTCATCTTTGACATAACATCTAAAAATCATTACTCTTACAGCAGATCATAACTGAACTCCCTAGCAAAAATAAGGTTTTCCAAGACTTGTCCTAAAAAACTTCTCCAGCAAAACATCACCTTCTCCTTGTCACTTTGTGATGACGTCCTTTGATACTTGCTGTTCTACAAAAACTCTAGGACCAATTTTAATCACACATATAAATGTAAAGTACAACCTAGACTGAGCAGTAACTCTGCACTGATGATGACCAGCTTATAAAGTGTCTTTTTTCCTAAATATTTTTTTTCTATCTAAACACTGCTTTTCTCTGGAGATCTACCTAATCACTAACACTGCTCCACTTCTATTATTGGAAAAAAACTGCAGAATGTATATTATGTCATACCTCCTAAACAGATTTAGTGTGTTGTTAGAATCTTCAGCCTTGGATTTCTCTGAAGGCAATGGATTTCAGGATTATTTGGCAGAGGAAAAGATGGTTGAAGATTTGAAGTCTGACTTGCTTCCAAAATGTGCCAAAAAGGTTTCAAGGTAACAAAAAAAGGGATTTTTAAGGATTTTTCCTTGAAAATCCTGCAAAGCCAATGTAAGGAGTCAGATGGAACACTGTATCCCAGACTGGTGCATATGCTTCACTCTGAAAGGAAGTATTGGCTTCTACTACCTCCTTCCCACATGAAGAAGCTCCTGTCTAATGCCTCAGTGGAATCAGTTGTGCAAGTGACTGGAATCGTGGCACCCCAGGTCCCCAGGGCAGGTGGAAAAGAACACTGGATAGTGGGGTTATGGTGGGTTTTGTGTCATACCATTGCCAGGGCTACTGGGGTGTGTGACAGCCTATCCTCAGACAATGTGAGGTGAAGTAACTGCTGTGACATGTAACTTAGGAGAACCTCAAAGCAGATTGCAGGCACCCAGAAATTAAACTGTAACCCAGCCCTTTGGAAGAATGATGACTGCCTCTTCCAGGTTTTCAAAATATGGTTGAGAATTTCTTTTTCTTGAAAATAAATAATGCCATCTCAAGTTCCACAGTATGTGTGACCTAATTCTCACCCAGAATAGATTTTGCTGTTCTTATTAAATAGGAAACAGAGGTTGAATAATTTTTTAATGTTCTGCATTCCTTAGCTCTCAGTGCAATTAGCCATAGATTAATCTGTCAGGATTGTATATGTCACTGTCAGGCCCCAAAGAGAACCTGGATTTCTGATCGTAACTTCTTTTTGCTCTGAGCACTTCTAGATGTCCATAAAGAATGCAGGCTTCAAACAACATATTTTTTTTGTTATTGCTGTTGGAAACTGGTACGTACTTTCCTCTGGTAAACAGAAAGAGTTCTGCAGGATCGAATGAACTTTGCTGTGAGTCAGTGCTACAAGTGGGAAGCTGTCTGCTCTCCCTTGGGATCAAAGAAGACTAGTTTGGAGAACTGGTGTTCAGAACTGGAAGTTCTGGTAAGTTCATCACAATTTCCCTTTTCTGACTTGTATTAAGGACTGCTGCTGCAGTCTGCCTCCTTCATGTCAAAAAAAATACAACGAGATCTGAAAAAGATGACAAGCTCTGACCACCAAAGGTAAGGAACGCTTTCTGCAGGAAGAACAGCTAAGCAAGCTTGAATATTTTTTGGTCTGCAAAAAGGAGTATGAGGCACGCTTATGAGGGGGCTACAAAACCATATGAAGAGTCTGGGAGTTGACTGATTAGATAGCAATTCTGTTAGGAACTACCTAGTTGTTTGCTTTCCTGTAGTGTTCCTTTATTTGGGTGAGGTTATCTTCAAAGACCATGGATTCCTCCCTGGCAGCTTCTCACAGGTCCCTGATGACAATTCCCTTAGTCTTTATTCTGTTACCTGCCTTCCTCAACTCCATTGGGACCTTACACTCTGCCCTCTACTTTCACTGCAGCCACAGCTGCCCATCAGCAGTCACATCCTCAAACACTTTACACTCTTCATGAGTAATAGATGCAGAAGTGCACTTCCCCTAGCACACCCTCTGCATCAAAAAATTGATCTCTATGTATTCCTCAAAGAACCATGACATAAAATCACCTCTGAATCCATGAACTGTGACTAACAGTCATTTTATGCATCAGAAAATTAACCTCATTGTTAGGGTAGTTTTATCATAAGGTACATCACTGTATAAAATGGATATATAAATATATGCATACCCTTGTTACTTAAAAGTGTGTCTCATTTACTAGCCATCATCAAAGGGGTCCTCACCTTTACAACACTGATGCAGGATAATCAACTGTTCCAAGAGATTTCCTAGTGCTTCCTCAAATGGCCCTACATACCATGCTGTCAAGTCCATTTTTCTCCTACTCCAAGACAGGAGCAGGTGGGTCAGGTCATTAACACTAAGACTAAGAAAGAAGACAGCTTCTTCAAAATTATAATGACTTCTTGTGCACAGTTACTGTGTTTACAGTAACTTCCAGTCCCCAGGTTAGCACAGCACAGTGCTGTCAAAAACAAAGCATGGGTACAAGCCTTGAAAACAGATAATGGTAGCAGGCATAAAACATGGTTAGTACATTTAATTCTTAGGTAAAAGCAAATTACCTGTGGAATTCCTTGCGAGGACATGACTGCTTGATTATAGAAAATACGGCCAAAGTGATCTCGATCTGGAAATACTTCTGCTTGACGAGGTAAATTTGCTCCTCCTGAATCAACTAGAGTGAACAAAAATATATGAACATGCCTTTGAACAGTGTTATACACTTAAGTTGTTGGTAAAGTATCTGCATGTTATTTAAAAAATACAGCAACTACTATCACTAACACTACGTATATTTCCATGAATCTAGGTACGTCAGGATATTCTTTTGGGGGGGAAAGGGAGGGGAGAAGAAAAATAGTAAACACCCCCTTCCAAAATCACATCTATCTCAATCATTTTCATGGAAAATAAACCGAGATGTGCTTGAAGATGCAGTCGTGCCTCCGTATACAAACTTTTAAACTCATCTTACTGCAAAACTTTAAAACTAAGAAGACTTCCAATGTACAATTTTAACTCCATTATTCTATTGCAATTCTGTCACAAGTTCCAGAAAAAAAGCATGACTAACCACTAATGAGTTCAAAAGGTGCAGCATGTGTACTTTCATACCCTGATTATACTTCATACCAAAGACCTTAAACTATCTTCAGGAAGATTCATTTATTATATATCCTTGCCTTATGATGTGCCCTTCAGCTTACAGGTTTCCAGCAGCAGCTACCTCTCCAATCTCAATTAATGAAAATACATCTCATCATGAGATGTATCCAGAGAAGGACGCAAGCAAAGTTTCTTCTTGTTTTTTTTAACAACCAAGATAAAATTTAGCCCTCCCCTTTCCTCCAAGACTCTCTGTGGCAATTCCACAAATGCTACACCCCATGTCCCTGTATCGACCTCACCAATAGTTTCAACTTCACCCTTCTCCTAATCCTTCTCTTGGTATTATTTGCATGCTTAGCCTGCCAGCAGGGCAAGAAACTACAAACACTTACACTGTCCAGGACCTACATTTAGGCTGACTTTTTAACCAGCACAAGCATCCACACTGGCAAACTGATTATTGCCCCTCTGCTGCTATGTCAGCTGCTAGGTTAAGCCAAACAGACAAGGAATAACCCACCCTATTTTTTTAAACGGAGACAGTAGAGGGGTCTTTCTCCTCTGACGCTGATGTACACAGAATCCACAGGAATACACACTCTCTTACTGCTGTCTACATTGGCAGAAACCTCTTGGATTTGTATAAAAACAGGCTATAAAAATACTACTTGTAGTATACTAAGATGCTTGGTACTCTGATCTTAATCTTTAATAAAAGTATACATACATAACACAGGAAGGTCTGGCTAAATATTGATGTAATAGACTAAACTCAAAATGAAAAATAATATGCAATTTCTACTTCAGTAAAATTAATCCCAAATTCCAAAGATCTGATGATCCAAACTATTACTGAGGTTATTTTTATTTCTTTAGCATGTTTTCTCATACAGCTACATGCTCCACCAGAATGTACTTTTTAACTGGAATTGAAATTGACTGGATGAGACTACAGGAAACATTGTTGCTTCACTACAGAAGGGAAAGAAATAAGAAAGAAGTTATACAGTGTTAACAGTTACATCTGAACCTGGCCCTACAGCAGTGCAGAAGATAGTGCTGAGAACCTATAAATACCCTCCAGTTAAGATGTGCCACCAATCTGCAGAGGTAACACAGTATTAATGAAAACAGATTTGAAAATGTGTGTCTTAAATACATTCCTGGTTAGTCAAATCTGGGGACACATGAGCTGCCCTTAACACAGGACATTTGCTATTTTTGCAATAGGACTTACCCAAATAAAGGCAAGGGAGATGATTTTGCATTGCAATTTCTTGAGCACGTAAGTGTTTCTTAACAGTGATGGGATAATAGGTACCACCTTTGACAGTTGCATCATTAGCAACAATCAAGCATTCCACCCTAAAAATAAAACAAGTTTATGAGAGAGTAAAACATTTCTAATGAGTAGGTATGTATGTTGTTTAAGAACTGCAACATGTCAAGGATGCTTGAAGCCCTGATGCTCTGAGAGCTCTTTCCCACCTGCATTCTGTAAACTGCACACTGTAACAGCGGCCTCAGTGCTATGATATCCTGTTCCATAATGTATAGCATCATAATTAATTTCAAGAATAGTATTGGAGGTACTTTAAGTAAGAAAAACTACTTTTTAGACTAAAATACCCCCCTGTTTTTTTTAAATTCTTTACAAATGCACTAATCTCTTTCCTTCATTGAATACCAGAAACTCTACATGTGTTCTGTTTTAATATGGGATACACTTACTAAACAAAAAAAAACCCAAATCAAACCACAAATAAATAAACCCCAACACAACACATAAAAAAAAAAAACCTAACCAAAAAACCTCACTTTCTTTTAGCCAAGACTAAACATATTGAGATACCAACTTTGTTCATTTTTTGGGTATCAGAAACGAAATGCTAAAAATGCTAACAGATTAACGCTGGAAATTGAATAAAATTACACCTTCTCCTTTTTCATAACATCAGTAATGCAGATGACTGGAAGCTCTCACCCAGATACTCGTCCAATGCCCGTGATAATGCCTCCTGCAGGTACCTCCTCATTACCGTACAACTGGTAACCAGCAAACTGGGAAAACTCCAAGAACGGGGAACTGAATAACGACAAATAAAACAAAATTTTAAAAACTAACTGGCTATATCTGTCATTGGATCTCACTTAAAAGGTTACACTTTAAAAAATGAGGTTTGTGGGTTTTTTTAAAAAAGAGATGAGTATTTCAAAGAACACCTCTGTAAAATTTCAGTGGTGTTACTCGCCAGTGCTTATGGAAACTAAAGAGTAAAGAAGCCTGTTGTAGTATTGACCTGCAAAAGAGAACCTGAAGTGTTGAAGAAAAAAAAAGAAGTACCTACCCAGGATCAATAAGCCTGTCAATTCTCTCTCTGGGTAACAGCTTTCCTCTTGATGTGTGACGCTTACGAGCTTTTTCTCCACCTCCTGTGATACAACAGTAAATTGTCACTTTTTCTATGGACACAGATAGATAAATCACCACTTATATTAAAACTTAGAATGGAAGTGCTGATAAGCTCCCATTTTTTGAAGCACAGACCTCAATAACAAATTTAGTAAATAATGGTTTCCATTTCAAACACATTTAAGGTACTGATAAAAATGCTTGCTTTTTAGAATGTACTCTATTTGCCCCCTCATTTTTAATAGTTAGTCTTGAGGTAAAGATTTTAATAAACACAGTTGTCTGAAACTTTCCCCCACTTCTTGGCAACAAACAGGAGGGTAGAAAATACACAGAGATAAAGCACAGCAGCAGAACTTCAGAAAATACTATTCCCTAGAACTGATTCAGAATAGCTATGCTGAATCCAATCCTGAATGACCCAACACAATCTAGATTAATTTCCTTAGATCATGCCAAAACTGTAAGCAGAGTTTAGGCACACAGCATTTAATATCAAGTTTATATTTGTCTCATTTCAACCCTTCACTCAAGGTCATCCTAAATCATATCTTCTGCTCTCTAGAGCCTTGTGTCATTCGATACTTAAGATCTGTTGACACACCTCAGCCTCTTTATAACAACAGCTTGTACAAACATTGTCTCTCTGTGTAGACAGATCACTGATTCACCTCATCACTCTAAAATTGTCTCCCTGTCCAAAATAAAGAAGGGGCTATTCTGCTAACATTTCTCCTGAGACTCCAGGATTTCTCTGTCAGCTAGGTATCACTGAAACAGAGTTTTAAGCCTACCTTTCAAGACCTTTCTCCCACCCTATCTCATTCTCTGATCACTACACACATCTTTTCCCACCCATGAGGCATGCCAGAAGTCCACAATTTATTTCCAATTCAGCCTGCTCATCAGGTCTGTATATCCAGCCTAAGCCTAAATCTTGTAAATTCTTTCTGTACAAGCTTCTTATGATACAACATCCACAAAGTCACTACTCTCATCCATGTTTTTAACATCCCACATCATAACTACATTTTCTCTGACCTCCATCTTGCCTTTCTCCTTTACACTGAACGATGCTGCAAAAATAATTTTCATCTTGGGACTTTTGTCATCTCTGTGCACTCCTCCTCTTCACAAATGCTTACTCCCCAGGCCCTGTAGCCAATCTCTTGAACATTCCTCTTCCAACATCAGCACACTCTAACCTGCACTAGCCTCTATTCCATAGAATGAGAATTAAATGTAAAGATATTGTACACATCCTTCAACAGTACTAAGGTAAGCACCTAATTCTTCTCATATACTTAAATGACAGGCAAAGCAATTTCAACTGATATCACTCAAAACCATGTATTAACATCCACTCAGATGTAGGAAAGATGAGGACTAAGTTCTTGTCCTGTCACTGTGTAACAGGCAAGAACAGGCAAACACGCAGCAGTGAAGAAGGCCATGATCACTAGTTCATGAGCCACACACTGAATTGCCTTCTTCACTGCTGCATGTTTGCCTGTTCTTGCAGATTCTGCACCCATAAGAGACAGAGGTAGTCCATGGGCTTCTGCATCTCCTCATGAAATTCTGGACCTTTTTGCACAGCAAGCAAGAAAAAGCACTAAGCACAAGATCTTAACTGTGCTCCATTCCAAACTTGTAAAAGAAACTGCATTACATAAGAAACAGTATATGAAAAGACAAACTAGTATCATGATAGTCACAAGAAGGGGAGAATTAAAGCTACATGCTCAACCTCTGGCAGCATAGTTAAGCATTTATAAAGTATTTTCTTTTATTGTCTCCATTAACTGCATTTAACTGTAATTCACTCAGGTAAGTCTTACAAGTCAAAAAGAAGAAACAGAGATTTCAGTCTTTTAAACTACTACACACTTGCTTCTCTCTGCCAGCACAACTACAGCCAGGAACTTTGAAAAGACCCACTCAAAAAAAGGAGGGCAAAGGTGAATCCTCATCCTTTATTGAACGCATGGGGAAACATAGTCACAAAGGATGAGCAAAAAGCAGAGGTACTTAATGCCTTCTTTGCCTTAGTCTTTACCAGACCAGTTTTCTCTGGACACCCAGTCCACTGAGCTGGAAGACAGGGACAGGGAGCAAACTGAAGACCCTATAATCCAAGGGGAACTGAGTAACAACTTGCTACACCACTCAGACACACACAGGTTTATGGGGGCAGGTGGGATACAGCTAAGGGTACTGAGAGACCTGGCAGAACAACTCAGAGAGGCACTTTCCAACATTTCCCACCAGTCCTGGCTAACCAGGGAGGTCCCAGTTGACTGGAGGTTGGCCAATGCAACCACCCACCTATAAGAAGAGCCAGAAGGAGGATCTGGGGAATTATTGCCCTGTCAGTCTGACCTCAGTGTTGGGGAAGGTCATGGAGTAGTCATCTTGAAGGCCATTACACAGCACATAGAAGAAAACAAGGGCATCAGGCTCAGCCAGTACAGATTTAGCAAAGGCAGGCCCTGCCTGACCAACCTGATCTCCTATAACAGGGTGATCCATGTACTAGATGAGGGAAAGGCTTTGGATGTTGGCTGTTTCCCACAGCATTCTCCTGGAGAAACTGTCTGCTCATGGTTTGGATAGGTGCACCATTTGCTGGGTAAAAACCTGCCTGGACACCTGGCTCAAAGAGTGGTGGCGAATGGAGGTAAATCCAGCTCATGGCTGGTCACAAGTGAGGTTCCCTAGGATTCAGTTTTGTGGCCAGACCTGTTTAGTAACTTTATCAACAGTCTGGACAAGGGGAAGAAGTGCATCCTCAGTAAATTCACAGACTATACCAAGTTGAAAAGGAGTGTTGATCTGCTGGCACTTAGGAAGGCTCTACAGAGGGATCTGGACAGGCTGGATCAATGGGTCAAGATCAGTGGTGTGAGGTTCAAAAAGGCCAAGTGTCGGGTCCTGCACTTGGGTCACAACAACCCCATGATATGCTACAGGCTGGGGAAGAGCGGATGGAAAGCTGCCTGGCTGAACATGATCCAGCAGGGTGCCCAGGTGGCCAAGAAGGTCAATGGCATCCTGGCCTGTTGTGGTGGTAAAACAGTTTTCCCCCTGAAGCTATAAAATGGTAAACCCCCAGGGGGTGGTGACCCTTGAGGTTTGAGCCAATGAGCGCTTTTGCAAAGTATAAACATATCACAAGCAGACCAGAAAAGAAAGTAGTTGTGGTAGTTGTTGTTGGAGAGGTGGCCATGTTGTGAAAGCCACGAGCTGAGGGGCCCTCAGCCCCACAGGGGGCTCTGGCCCCCCCCAGTCCCCGGCTGGGGGCTACAGGGACTTGGAACAGTGTAAGACTGGGCTAAGTATCTGTAGCTGAGAAGGTAGAAGTTTCTCCAACCGTGAGCAGCAGCAGCAGCAGCGGCAGAACAGCACTGACCGAGGAAAAGTGGCAGAGAGACAGAAGAGATAAGAGAGAAGCAGCAAACAAGCATGCAGTCAAGCAGGAAGACACAGAGTTGTCTGAGAGACGAGAGTCAGCAGCAGCGAGAGGACTAAGCTCTACACACTGAGAGAGAAAGAGAGAGAGTGTTTGGGTAAGAACTGACCACAACCCCCCAAACTCCTTGGAGACCCCTCCTAGAGAGAGGAGGATGATGGACTCTTACTTGAAAGAGCCTTGGAGTGCTACAGCACTGCACAAAGGAGCTGAAAAGCTCAGAGAAGGAATGCGGAGGGGGTGACCTTGGCCCCCCCCCCGCTACTGCCAAGCTGGCAGTTTTGAGTCAGAGCATGGGAGCTCTGCAAAGGGGAATTTGAATCCCCTGAAGATAGGGACCGTCACGAAGGCTCCTGTACTTCGTTGATATGACGTAGTGAAGGGACCTTTGTCCGGGTGAACGCAGCCCACAGAAGAGAAGACCCTCGCCTGGAGACGAAGGGCCGAGAGGGGCTTGGATACCCCCTCGTGTGTACTGGCAGAGATCCAGCTACAGCTGCTGCATGAAGAGAGCCTGCTGCCTTAGAGACAATGCTGCTCTGAGAGTGGAAAGGATCTCTTCCTTCTTCCCTCCTGGACTTTTATTTAGAAGGGAGAAGAGATCTGATCCATTGTGAATACTGCTTTGTCATGGTAGAGATAGTTGAGGTTGTTTGTGTAATGTATTGTAATATTTTATCTGTACAGTCATTGTAATATATATTCCCTTCCCCCCATTTTGAGTCTCGTGTGGTGTCTGGAAAACCCATCTCACACTGGGTTGAGATGAGGGAGGGGGGCTAGGACTGGAGAATTGGATTTTGGGGCTCTCAAACCATGACACCTGTATCAGCAATAGTGTGGCCAGCAGGACCAGGGCAGGGTCCATCCCTTTGTATGTGGCACAGGTGAGGCTGCACCTCGAACCCTGTGTTCAGTTTCAGGCCCCTCACAACAAGAGTGAGCTATAACCCAGAAAGTATGTTGTATCTGAATCAACTGATTCATGAACGACAGTTATAGGGGAAAAATTACAAAGAACAACACTGCTTTTTGTACCAAATTAAGTAAGTTTGGTTTTTTATTCAAAAATGATACTTACCTAATCTGATTTTTTCTGCATGTTCTTGTAGTTCAGCTACCAGTGCTTTCATTCGTTCATAATTTTCCTGAGTGGGGAACAAAACAGAATTTTAAGTTCAACCAAGAGTGACTGTATTAATTTTTAATAAAAAACACAGAAAGTACAAGACTAACATATCTTCCAAATCTAATTTTACCTTGTTAAATACTGCCTCTGTATTGTCTTTAAAGTAATGACATTTCTACCTATGTATTGGCTTCTCTCAAGCATTTAATAAAAATGCTTCACAAAAATTCAGAGTGTGTTAGGACACTAAAAGTCTAGTTCTGAATTTAATACACTAAAATAGAACTAGTCACTACAGAGTTCAAGTGCTATTTTTCAGACTTTGTTTATTCTTGGTATAGGTTGGTTTGCTTTTTAAAGCTAATTACGTAAAAAATGTGGATTCAAAGTAAGTGTTTTTATGTCTCTTGTAGCAAAGGATGAATGATCTAGACCAAATGGAATTTGGTAAACACTTTTTTGATTCCTCTTCTTTAGGTTGAACATAAAGATAAAACAAAGGTTTTTTTGTTTTTTTTTCTTTTTTAACCAGTCGGGTCTTCTTGCCATTATATCTCCAGAAAAACAAAGACTCATTGTTCTGAATATGAATGATCCAGTACTGAGCTCATCATTTCTATCAGAATTATCCAAAACTTTGTGTGCTCATTACAGTAGAGCTTTTTTTTCCAATTTCTGAGGAATTTGAAGGTATTAGTCAAGCTTAATTTGTTGGGTTTTTCTGCAGACATATTAAGAACTATATTACCTTTTTGAAAAATGTAACTGCAATAAAAGAAGATGCTGCATAAAAAGACCATATTGCCTTGTCTAATTGTCATTTAGATTATGTTTGAGTCTACTTTGACAGAAAAAAACACCTGGTGACTCTCTATATTCATGCATACTTCAACACTCAGACTTAAGGTTTCCCCTAGAAGCCGTGAACGTTGCAGTTAAGGTTGTTCAGGTCAGTCTTGGGCACTTAAAGGCACCAAGATACAAAGCAGAAAGAAAATAAAAACATGTACGGCGGGACCTCACATTCTGTTTTAGATATATAGTGACTTTCAAAATAACACACTTCTCCCCTTTTGTAATTGCTACAAATAGATTTAAAATATTCTACTGAAAGCTAAAAAACATTTACAGTGAAAACAGGTCTGAGCAATTTTATCAGCTCGTCTACACAATTAATACATAAGGTATTAGAGGTATTCAGACTACACCTACATTATTCAGAGGTCATCCAGCAAGATCAAGGTAACTGAAACACTGAAGTCCAACTTTTGTACCTCTGTTGGCTCTTGGGAACAGGATTCCCCAAGTACAAATGAAGTGCCATCCCTGGTATGGTTCACAGCCTGCACTTGTATGAACCAAATAATTGCCTGCCAACACCAAACACGGGCAAGACATTGGCCTTAGTTAATGAAATCTCTCTGAAGCAAGGTGCCCCCCTGCAGCCCCAACGACTGGCAACACAGTAGGTCACCAGCCTCCTGCATCTCCTCCCTCCATTCCTTTTAAGACTGTATCAGTATGTCCATCAGATTATTCCCCTTTCAATCTATTTATTTTGATAGTTTAATCGCCCCTCTCCCTGACCATCACTGCACAGCTCCAACACCTACCTCTACACCTGTTTTTCTTCCTGCTAACCTGTGAAATCACACTGCAATGACCCACAGGCAGTTTTACACTGGCATGGCATCCCAAACCCCCAAGAACAAAAGAAGTCTCACTTTGTTATCTTGACTATGCTGTTCCTGTAAGAGACTATGGACAGTAACTGGCCACACAACCATGTGAAGCACTGAAGAAAACAAAACCTGCCCTTCCCAAGACTCTTCTTTACAAGTTAACTTTTTTTCCCCAGTGAAAAATCTGTAAATCAGCCACTGTAATTCCATATCTCTAAAAATCTGCAGTTGTCACAACCACCCAACATTATTCTGTGCCAGCATTCAGCTTGTCTGGGTGGGTCATTTAGCAACATAAAATATTTTCCGTGTTTCTCCTTGTTCATTCAGCCTGTTTTCCCCAAATACACTTCACCTCTTGCCCACAGTACTGAGCTTAAAAACTCGCCTTTAACACAGAAAAAAAAAAAGTAGCTAAAAAGACAGAGAATATTAAAAGAGGAACAGCAATCACAATCGTGGGCTTCTTTACTAGATCCTCATTAACAACTAACTGTAGCTACCTTAGATACTCTATATGAAAAATTGTGAAAAACCACTTTAGATAATCTATAAAAAATACTGTATACACAAACATTTGTGTTGCTTAAATTCACTTAACCTTTATTGTGATCTTTCACACCTTTAAGCAAAACACATCATCATTATATTTTACCAAAAAGATGATGTTCTGAAATAATTTTGAATACGCACACAAAAGACTCCTCTCAGAACCAAATGTACTAGTTCTACCACGTATTTGTGGGCTCTTCATTAATTAATGACAAAAAGGCCAGTGAAGTGGCACCAAGTTCTTTCTGGAAACTTGCCCACCAAGGGCTATAAAATTCTGCTGTTACAATGAGGGTTTCTACAAATTTTAAAGCAAAATCAAGAGGTGAAACCTACACTAATCCTACAGTTACTCCACAAGCTAAATGAATTACTCTCACACCAGCAAAGGGGCTCCAAGAGCTAATCCCTGAAATCTTCAAATAGACCTTCCTTCCTTTTCCAGAATTTAGACTCACTCACTTTGAAATTACCTTTTTTACCTATCTGGTTTGAAAGACAGTTTACATTATGAAGGCCAGCCTGTCTAGCTGAATTCACAGCCAGAAAGGCAAACATTGGCTAAAGAAGGCAAGACCTTCATCACTATCTTGTGTTTGCACTGTACTTTTATTTCAGATGGTTAAGCACCTCACAGCAGGGACCTCAGCATTTTGTGTTTGCAAAGCACTACTTGCACTTACGTTGTTCTATAAATTATTTCTATCAAATACTAACAGTATTACCTATTTTACCAAGCCTTGCTTTCCTTTTGAGGTTGAAAGGTACACAGACACAAATATAAATCTAGAGACAGCTGGGATGAGTAAAGACCTTTATTAAAATACCTTTCGTTGGTATGCAAAATATGAATGTACACACATACATATGTATACACACACTTCATATACACAAGCTTTGTATGTACACACACACACACACACAGACACACTCTGAAAGTTCACAGGAGTTTCAGTCACCTAACTTCAGTCCCAAATTTAGTTTCAGCAAAACAAAGCACAATATCAAACACAGAACCAAAGGAGCTATTTCAATAACAATACGTGTTGTCCCTTCACCTGTTGTTTGATGTTTTACTTGGAATACAGACAAAAACAAATGCTCGCTCTCCGATCAGTTTTGATCCACATCTAAGGCCATGCTTTTCTCAGCCTTAGTGTAAACACGACTTTTATCTGGAACATGATAATGTTAATAATGCCCCGTTAAAAATGAACCAACTTATACCAGATACAAATACTGTTCTCTATTTGTAAATACAAGTGGAATTACACCTAATCCTTCTCCTCAAAAGATGACGTTTTTGGACGCATGTCCGTGACGGTACAGCTATTACACCTATTTCCAACTCGGGAATCAGTTTGCAAACACAAGGACACGTCCAACTCTGAAATCATCAGGCTCCGTCCTCAACCGCCTGAAAACTCCCCGTCTCCACCTCAATTAGCACGGTACCGATCAGCTTAAAACACAGCGAGCAACGGCCTTCCGATTAAAAAAAGTGTAAAAGTATCCGTGACGAGGCCGTCGCCCGGTACAAACCCACGTTCATTTTCCACGGCAGAGCTGCCCGCTCAGGCTGAAGGAAGCGAGCAGAACCCGGCGTTCAACCCGCGTGAGGCGGGAGCAGCGCTGGGCCCCCGCCCGAGGCGCCGGCACGCGCTGGCCAAGCACCAAATGGCCGCCGCTCGCGCCAGCGACTCCACGGCGGCCACTGCGACCCCGCGCGGGCCCCGCTCTCCCGAAGCCGCCCGGCAGCGGGGGAGGCCGGACCCCGCCTCCCGGGGCCGCCCGGGGCTCCCGCGCCGCCGCCCGGCCCGCCATACCTGATAGAGCGCGGAGCTCGCGTCGGGGCGCGACCCCACCGCCGCCACCGCCTCGCCGCGGTACCCGCGGGCGAGCAGCGGGCGCAGCAGCCCCAGCAAGCGGCCCGGGAGCCGCGGGGCGCCCACCAGCATGGCTGGGCCGGGCCGAGCGAAGCCGAGCCGAGCCAAACCGAGCCAAGCCAGCCGGCCGTCCCAGGCCGCGCCGCTGCCGCCACTCCCCCCGCCGCAGCCAATGGGCACAGCGGGGCCGGCCCGAGGCGCAGGGCCTGTGCCCGCTCCCCGGGACCTGGGGGCAAGGGGGTGCGGAAGAGCGTCCCTTGGAAGAATTTCGCGTAGGATTACATGCTTGTGCAGCCAGGGAGAGCCCCTTGGCCTTCTCAGACACTTCGTTATACAGTAATAGGGACAGAGCTTTTTAGAGTCCAAACCTCTTTGGTCGAGTTGCTTCCTTGTTTGAACGCTTTGCTGTTCTCCAGCATTCCAGTTTAACTGTTTTAAATCAAGGCCGCTGTATTTAGAGAGAGATAATACCGAGGAGTCTGATACCAAGTAAATCAAGTACTATTCTAAAACAAAACCACAGGACAACAATGTCCCTGTTAAACTACATTCAGCCAGCAGGTCTTCATGCACCCTGGTGTTGCAGCCCAGACTTGAGCCTTTCCTTTAGCCCACACTTAAAGAATCACAGAATTGGGACAGACAGGGACCATCATGTCCACTACTGGCCCTGCACAGGACCATCCCCGCAAGTCACACCATGTGCCTGAGAGTATCATCCAGATCCTTCACGAACTCTGTCAGGTTTGATGCTGTGACCACTTCCCTGGGGAGCCTGTTCCAGCACACAACCACCCTCTGGAGTAAGAACCTTTTTCTGATATCCAACCTAAATCTCCCCTGACACAGCTTCAGGCCATTCCCTCAGCTCCTGTCACTGGTGACCATAGAGAAGTGCCTGCCCCTCCTCTTGCCCTCACAAGGAAGTTACAACTGCAATGAGCTCTCCCCTCAGCCTCCTCTTCCCCAGGCTGGACAGACCAAGTGCCCTCAGCCGCTCCTCACACGGCTTCTCCTCAAGGTCCTTCACCATCTTCACTGCCCTCCTTTGGACACTCTCTAATGGCTTAATATCTTTCTTATTTTGTGGTGCCCAAAACTGCACACAATATTCAAGATGAGGCTGCCCCACTGCAAAGCAGAGCGGGACAATCCCCTCCCTCAACCGGCTGGCGATGCTGTGCCTGATGCTCCCAGGACAGGGTTGGCCCTCCTGGCTACCAGGGCACTGCTGACTCACATTCAACTTGCCATTGACCAGGACCCCCAGGTCCCTTTCCATGGCACTGCTTTCCAGCATCTCACTCCCCAGTCTGCCCATACATCCAGGGTTGCCCCATCCCAGGCGCAGGATCTGGCACTTTCCCCTGTTAAACTCCATATGGTTGGTGATTGCCCAGTCCTCAGTTTGTTGAGGTCTCTCTGCAAGGCTTCCCTGCCTTTACCATACTATGCCTATGAGCATTTAAAAACGGCAACTGATATTCAAAGAAATGGAAACACTGGTAATAGAAAATAATTTATTCACATAATTTACACAGAGAATAGAAGTACTTTCCTTGAAATAGAAAGCTCATATGCAATGAATACAGGGTGTCAAGAGAACTCTAAGCAAAGCAGTCTTATGCCACATCTTTGTAAAAATGCTACTCAGAGGCATTGAGATTTCACCAATATTTTCTTACATCCTTCATCATTATAGAACTTTCATACACAAAACAGAATACAAAAAACTGACCTACGTCTATTCAAATTAAAATTGTTCTTTAAAAAAAAATCTAACAAAGTGCATGGAATTTACTGCAAGGAAAGAGAAAGCATAACCCCAATTAACAATTCATATAAGGCACCATAAATCTTAGTAATGAAAGAGTTGATTTTTTCCCCACCTTGTAATCTGAATGCAAGCTAAAATGTATGCAACTAAATGTAGAATGATTATCCCCTCAGTACTCACTCAGAAGGTACTCACAGCAACTGTTTCATAGATACTCCCCACAATTCTATTTTTAGGCTCTATGAGTGCAAGTGATATAAACATGCCACATGTATCAGGAAATAAGTAAACACTTGCATACTTAAAATAATATCTACAAGATTTACAATACATAGTTTTATGTATACATAAATCTATTTTATAATGTACAGTAAGACTATTTAGATAAACATTTCAAGTTAAATGGATTAGGCAAAGTACAAGACACCATCTGAACAGAAACTGTTGGTGCTATTGGAGGGTTTTTTTGGGGGGGGTGAGGTGGGTTGATCATATGCTTTCAAATAAGTTACTTCACACTGGGATCATTAGTCCCTTTTCTATCACCTCAAGGAATACTGCTGACAGTGACATTTCATTGACAGAGGCCTGCTAATATATCAATTTGCAGTAACAGTAGCTTTTATATTTTTCCTCACTGACAAAGTTTTAAATAACTTCTGAAAAGACAAACATTCTCGAACTTACTCAAGTCCTTCAGAATTAACTGCATACTTATATTATTTACCTGCCAGTAAAAAATTACCCAGTTAAAAGCTGATAACAGATTTCAGTTTCACATTCATAATAAATAATTTATTTTGCAAAAGTACCTGCTACTATTAAGTAACAGGAGAAAAATTTAGACTATTCAAATCTAAACACTCATTCCTATGCAAGCAGGAGTTTCCAAGTAAACACTGAATCTGTCAGTGACCACCTGACACTTTGACACTGCATAAACCTCATTACCTCATCATCTTGATGAGGTAAGTAAAAAACCTAAAGCTACACTAGAATTTTATAGCAAGTTACAGTACAAGCAGACATGCAACATGAGAAAACCCTTCAAACTGAAGTGCTTCAAAGCAGCAAATCCTCAAAACAATGACATTGTACAGTCATGGTTTAAATCCAATCTCTTTGTGCATCTTTGCACAAGGGAAACCGAGGAAGTCAGCAAATATACAAACACTTACATGTAAAACCAAGAAAAAGAAATGGTATCGATCACTTTGTTTTCCAATTTAGAAGAAAATTAGCATTTATACTAGGGAACATCAATCTCTTCCTCCCAGTGATGAACATTGCAAAGATTACCTTGCGCTAATGTGTTTTAGTAAATTGAGTTGTCTAGTTTTCAATACATTTTTAAGGAACCAACCCCCCTGGGCTTTTCAGGTTGGGATCTTTTAATTTATGTAATTAAAAACTGTTAATAAAAATACATAATTTGGAGATTCTAATAAAAATACCTGCAGTGCTTAACATATCTACGTATTTACTACACTACTTCCAGTATTTGCATTCTGATCTTCAGAGATTACACTCTACCTAAAAGGTTCATTCCTCCTAACATAACATACTTCACAAAAAGAAGTAAAGAATTTGTATAGCCAGTACCAATAGCTTTAGCATTAAAATGCAAAGGGATATTTGTTACAAGATTAAACATTATTTCATTGCACTTTCCTGCAAGGTAGTCATGCCAGCATCTAAACAAGTAGAACTACAGGTCAGCAGTCTCTAGTATGGTCCAATGACATCATTGTAGTGGTTTAGATTATGTCAACATTTTGAAAGTATCCAGGTTGCTTCAGAAGGAATCCATTTCATCTTTATGGTATTAATTAACAACAGTATAATTGGCTGATAGTAAGTGTGGCATAACAAATGTCAGAACAAAAAAAAAA